TCCCCTCCCCTCTCTCTGAAATCAATAAGCATGTGCTCGGGTGAGGATAGAAAAAATTACAGAGAAGAACAGTGACCTTTCAGATTGACGAAGGTATTAAAATTATGAGTAAAGCCACGACGTCCCTTCATTGGAGGCTGGACCAAGGACCACAGTTATTCACCAAGTGCCACCCCCACGGCTGTGAGTCAGCCCTGGGGCCTCTTGCGCACCTGTGGCCATCGGCCCGCAGGGGGCTACCCTGTTGTGCCCGCCGCCACAACACCTGGGCCACTCGCGCCAGCTCCAGTGTCACTCGGCCGCTTCCGTTCATTGGGCCGTAGACCCTGTTAAGGGGGAGCTGCCATCTTATCTGCCCCTCACGTTAACCTGTGGGGCGCTCTGTGGGGCCAACGCATAGTCAAGACGTTTACCCTTTTTGTCCTAAAGACAGTAATATAACACTTCTCTTTCATCTAAGACGACAACATCATTTCTCACCATTTGTGGTCTGCCTTGGGTTAAAATGCTCCTCAGTTTAGCTGGTAAACACCGTCCGAGGGACAGGTCCTCCTGGGAGACGCCCCCACCCCCACTGTCCCCTCCTCGTGGCTCCTCAGAGCCACTGCAGCTGCTCTGCAGACACAGGACCAGCCACGCCGGGGCCGGGGCCGGCCCCTGCACAGCCTCTCCTGCGGTCACATTCCACAGGGCACAGCGGGAGACCCGTGGCCCCAGGCGCCGGCCCAGCCCCAGCCCCACACTAGGTGGGCGGAGAGGGTTTCCCACTGGGGGCCCACCGTTAACGTCATGAACAACCATGGCTTCTACATGCAAGGCGTGCAGAGGACTTAGGGCGAAAACCCAAAGTCTTCTGCGGCCACCCCCCAAACTCACCTCGACAAGTGTCTGTGACTGGAACTGATAACACAGCAAGACACCACGAGACATATAGGGACTGAGCAAGACCCAGGAAGCCACAGGCCCAGGCCTCCCACTGCATGCCCCGCCCCCCAGGACATTTGGAGGGTGGGAAGATGGCAGATTGCTCATCTATCGTCCACCTGCCTACCTGCCTACCCAGTGACGCATCCATCCAGACACGTATCCCTTGCACACCTACACTGTTTGACAAACAGGAATAGGTATTTTCCCAAAGAAAATGGCCAGATGGCCAGAAAGCACATGCAAAGGTGTTCAGCATCTTTAGTTGTTAAGGAAATGCCATCTAAAACCACCAAGAGGCACTACTTTACACCCACAGGGTGGCTTTGATAATTCTTTTTTAAAAACACGGAGAAGGACGTGCTGTCGAGACTACGGAGGCGCTGGAACAGGGCAGGGCTGGAGCACGTGTGGCCCTGAGAGGGCAACTGGGGCTCCTCTGAAGGACAACGGGGCTCCACCGGCCCTGCACGCCCGGCCCCCGGCATGCGCCCTGGGGAGCGGGAAACGCCCGTGCACCGTGCTCATGGCAGCGCCACTCAGGGCAGCCAAAGGTGGAAGCCCCCACGGTGTCCACAGAAGTGCGAACATCCGCCCAGGGACCTACCGCTCAGCTGTAAAACGGACTGACTTGCTGAAACATGCAGCCACAGGCATGCACATGTACAAATCGTGGAAACACTGTGCTAAGTGAAAAAAGACACACGAGGCCACGTAGTGTAAGATTCTGTTTATAATTTTTTAAATCCTCACCCAAGGACATATTTACTGATTTGAGAGAGAGAGAGAGAGAGACATTGACATGAGACAGAACCAGCAGTCAGTTGCCTCCTCAATGTGCCTTGACCGGGGATTGAACCCGCAGCCTTTTGGTGCATGGACGATGCGCCAGCCAACCAAACCCCCCTGCCAGGCTGCCGTTTATAATTTTAGGTCACATGAATGTTACCTCAATTTCTTAAAAACCTCCACCATGTGTCACACTAACAAGTGAGTCCTTGGCGTCTAGCGGTGCCGGCGCCTCTGATGCCCTGGCACACGAGTGCGCTGTGACACCCAGCTCCCTTGGAAGGCAGAGCCCAGGACGACAGGAGCACTCTCCCTCCCCCGCCACCGCCCCTCCACGGCACTTTCTCACTTGGCCGCATGTCATCTGACACGTCTTCCCAGTTACACGTGTCGAGCAGACCAGACCAGACGGTGGGCCCCTCACACACATTCCCCCCACCCACTCCTTTCTGACTGAGCACGGCACCGCCCCGACCCTGCACCCACTGCGCGTGGCCCCCGGAGCTGTGCGCACAGCACGCTGCACCCTGGGCTTCCAGGCCCGCTCAGCCACCCATGCCCCGTGGAGCCTGGGCACGCCAGCGTGCGCGCGCGGACGGCGTCCGGCCCCCGTTTTCCTGATCTGCGCCTGCAGTCGTCGTGCGCACGGACTCTTCCTGCTACAAGGAGCGTGGAGAGGAGAGGCGCACCCTCTTTAAGCAGAGCTGAGCCTTGTTTCTTTATGAAAATACAATGGCCGCACGCCGGTCCGTGTGCGGGGAGAGCTGGGAGCGGACTTGTCCAGGCAGGAGGGTGCTGGGGACAGGGAGGGGCCGGCATGGGGAGCAGGACTCAGCGGCTTGTGCTGGGGACAGGCGTTCTCGGCCACTAGCTGCCAGGCCCTCCTGCTGCACCGCTTTTCCTCGCTGGCTTCTCCCCACCGATGCCCACCGACATGCACGGATCCAGGGTTCACTGGGAACCTCCGTGTTACATCGTGAGGGTGGAGCAAAGCCAAAATGCAACACGCCCACGTCCAGCCCCTTCACCCAGGGCCTTCGGTGGCCACCAGGCCCTGCCCGCGCTGCCCACGCCCGGCTCCCCTCCTGCCGTGCACTCTCCCTGCCAGGGGGTGCCACGCCTGCCCCAGGGAGGGCCGCCCGCCCACCCCACCCTTCGGGCACGCGGGGAGGGAGCCTGCGTGGCGAGCCGGCGAGGCCAAGCCTTCCTGAGCAGGACGGAGGGTCTGAGATCCCCGCGGCCAGGGCTCCCCTCAGAGCAGCCGGGCCCCAGCCACGTGGACGGCCCCGTGCGGGGCAGGTCTCCCAGCCGCCCTGAGAGAAGGCAGTGGGATGACAATGCTGCTGCTCGCTCACGAACTGCAGTGGGGGATGAGTCAGCACGAAGACTCCCGCACACGCCCGCTCAGGGCCCCGACGCCGCGACGCCCAGCGGCTGTCCCCGGGGCGGCCACTGGAGCCGGGCACAGCCGGCTGCCACGGGAAGGCTGCTGAGTGAGCGCTGTGGGGGGGTGGGGAAGATGACGAGGGGCACGTGATTAAAGCCAGAGCAAAAGACAAATAAAAGGCCCGTCACGGGGACAGATGTTCACGTTCTGGGCAGAGAGGTGTCCAGGGAGGCTGCCGGTGCGCCCGCCCCGCGGGGGCCAGGCAGCGCCTGCGCGCCCAGCAGAGCGGGCGGTGGGGCCCAGCGCTCCACACAGACCCGACGCCGTGAGCGGGGCCCCCTGCAGCGGCTCTGCCTGCGGCCACGGCCCTTGGCTGCAGCGAGTCGCAAACACACAAACAAGGTGGAGGAAGCCCAGCCGGAGGACCCAGGGAAATGGAAGCCGGGGAGGTGACAGCCAGAGAGGGAGCCGGCCGGCCTGGGGCTGAGGGCCCCGCCGCAGCTGCACCCACGTCGCGCCGGGACTGAGGGCAGGCCCCGGCCCCAAGCAGGCTCCCCAGGGACGAGCCACGCTGTCCCCAGCGCCCCATAGGTGGGACGGGCTCTGCAGAGCTGGCCCTCCCTCCAGTGCCCACCCCACCCCGGCTCTGACCCCAGAAGTGCTGCCTGGCCTGACAGGGACTCCAAAGCAGCCGTTTTCTACGGGTCACCACAGGCCGCTCCGTGGCCGTCAGAGGGACACGCTGTCAGCACAGGCCCCACCTGCAGCTGCACCCAGGTGCGCCGCGCTCTAGGGACAGAGGCTCCTGAATTTTGACAGGGACCTCCCAGAGGTATCAAGTGAGACAGAGGGGACAACAAAGCCTGTCGGCCCAGATCCAAACCCCCGCTAAGCAGCAGCCTTCCACAGAATAGAAGTCCCTCGTTACTGACAAGACAGGTAGACGTGCGCAGTGCACATGGCCACCCTGAGACACAGAGATGCCTCACAACATTGGGAGCCCAGTGCCGTGAGCAGGAGCGACCGCAGGGCCCCCGCTCAGGCAGGAACCCATTCGTCTCTGGCTTTTCTCTCTCCGCAGCACGTAGATAACACACAAAGGACCCTGATTCAAGACCACGTGGATGAGTGACTCACAGGCGGAAGCGCAGCAGCCCGTCTGCCCTGCCCGGCGGCTCTAAGCCGCGGCTTCCAGGAGGCTGACGTGCTGAAGTCCGAGGGGGAGCAGAGGCCACCGGAAGCCCCGGGAGGGGGCTGACTGCCCACCACCCCCTCCTGGCACCCTTAGGTGCCTCCAGAGCCGGCCCATGGCCCAGAACTGAGCAGAAAGGCACCTCTGGAAACACCCCTGACTTTCTAATTTTCTGTTAAAATCCTCAAACCACCTGATGAGAAAGTCTAAAGGAAGTAGGTCTTTGGGTGGTTTACAAATAACTTCAGATCTAAGGCAATTGGACACAGTTATCATACTTCACGCCACTCTTCCTTTATTAAAAAAAAACAACTAAGAAGCAAGCAACAAAAGCAGGAATCAAAGGCAACGCACGTCAACTGTGCCATCTTTTGAACACCAAGCTCTTTGATTCCCAGCGGCGTGAAAACCAGACGGGAAAAACAGCTTTAGCTAGTTGAGCTGCAGCAAAGTGGCTGAAAACACATTTCTTGTGCGAAAAGAAAACCATGACTTACAGGAAAGGTACTTTTTCTTTTCTAAAGGTTCTGGGCGGCGAGGTTGGGAGTGGGGACTGGACGCACTTGAAAGGGAAGTGCAGGGAGGGGGTACCGATCGCAGAATTACAGGGGGAGACGATGTCCTAAGTTCTCGCCTGGACTCAAGGACTGTTTGGAACCCGGGACCGTCGCTGCCCCGACAGGGAGAGGAAGCGAATGAGGGCCTTACCCGGGGCTGCCAGTTCTCGTACTGCTTCTGCAGGTTGGCTCCGATGGTCTCCAGGGCTTTCTGAGGCCCCATCGACAGGGGATCTGAGGAAGCAAGGAGAGGAGAAGGCCTTTACATGCACATCCTCGTCTGCAGAATGTCGGGCACAGTGCGCATCTGAGGCACCGCCTGACCTGCACAGGGCAGGGCCTGCGGGCTGCCTGCGCGCAACAGGCTGCCGGAGCCGCTCCCTGCCTCCCGGAGAGGCTGGGCCCTGAGCGCCTGCGGCCTGTGCTCACCCCGGCCGCTCCTGTGCTCCATCCCTGTGAGTGCGGAGTGGCTCGGGCCGGGCATCTGTCCAGCAGACACCGCACGGGGGCAGGGCCTATGGCGAGACCACAGCCCTCCCCGCCCAACACGCGGCCGCCGCACACGCATAGGAAGAGGCAGACAGAGAGGGACGAGGACGTGCTGCGTCCTCCTCGCAACGCTAGTTCACACGTCTGCGTCTGTGGTGTGCCCGCTGGTTGGAGGGGTGGCTTCTGCAGCCAGTCGCCGTCGGCCAGCGGCCCCTCGACGGGCCAGCTGTGGGCGCTCGGGCCTGTGCCCCGGGGCTGCGTTAGAGCTGCTGTGCCCAGTAGCCTTTGCCGAAGTTAAGGTGAGAAATTTTAGAAATATTGCTTTATTCATTCATGTAAATTAAGAAGCCCATTACATTTGAACGTTAATATTTATTATAAAAAATGACTATTCCCTCTGCCATAAAACATGACAAGAGCCACGCTGTCCCACGTCTGCCATTTCTGCAACACATGGTGTCACGGCACCAGCCGGCCCACACGGCTGCTCCGCCGCCCCCGCGGTGGCCTGTGCTGTCCGCCGCTGCTTCCCAGGGCAGTCCGCTCCACTGCCCTGACGTTTAAAGTCGCCTCTCCAGGCGGGCGCGGCCGCCCGCCGTCGTGCCACCACACCACACGTGACAACAGTGTCCGGCCGTTTGGGAGGTGGAGTCTGACCCCGCAGCCTGGAGTCTGGCCCCTGGGGATGAACATGCGCTGGTCTCTCCAGCTCCTCGAGGGGTGTTTTCACCCACGGGAGACTCGGGCCAGTCGGAAAACTGGCTCGCTGAGCTCCACGGCTCCCTGTCCCTCGCTGTGCCATCTCGGCTCCTGTCACAGCGAGGGACACTGTCATTGGTGCTCCTGGGAGTGACCGTCAGCTTCCAGAAGACGCCTGCCGGTGGGTGGCCTGTCGTTCACTAGGGGAGAGGTGAAGCCCCCGGAGAGCCCGCGGCGGGCCAGCCCCCAACGCCTGGGGCGCGCGTCCCCTCCACCCCACACGCCGCAGCCTCGGCGGCTGAGGGCAGACAGCGGCGCCTCAGACACGCACACGGGGCGGGTTGCCGAGTCGGGGTCTCGCGTTCCTCCTCCTAGGAAATAAACCACCAAGGAGGCAAGAGAGGGTCTGGGCAACGAGAGAGGCAGAGGCAGACGGAGAGACCCCGAGGCGCCCATGCACCAGGCCTGGGGCGCAAGGAGTCCGAGGGGATGAGGGGGCGCTGACACCCCGGAGATCCCATTACCAGCATCTGACTGGTCTAGTGGAACATATGGAAAGAGTAACATAAACTTGTAAGTTCACAGAAAATTCAGCACATAAAAGTAACTGGCAAGCTTGTAACAAAGGAGAAAAAGTTCCAGGTGTGGATGAGGAAGGGCGCGGTCAGAGAACAGCTCTGGGAAAGTGGGGCGACAGCTTCCAGCACCTTCCGGGCCGGTCAGTTTTTCGGCCACGTGCCTGTGTTGCTTCGATTGAGAACAGCAACGACGATGCACTAGGAGTTAGGCACAGGGTTTTAGAGCTGGAGACCTTCACCATGAGGGGTCGAAGCTGTTAAGGGCTCTGCAGAGGCAGGCACCAGCCTTGCCCGAGGGCCCAGGTCACGGGCTGCAGAAGGGCAGGGCCAGGATGGAGGGACACGCGGCGACAGCGGCCTGCACCCGATTCACCTGGAAGGGGACGGTGCATTTGTCAGAGCTGGTGATGCAAGAACGTAGGCGATGACCGTCCCCCAGCCGCGTCCCGGGAGGACAGCGCCAGGGTGGCAAAGCCCCCAGGGCCCCGCCAGCTGCGCTGCCCTCAAGTCCCAGGGTGGTCTGGGAAAGGGGGAGGGGTCTGGAGAAGGGGGCGGAGCCAGCACCGCCCCGCTCCGGCACAGGCCAAGCAGAGCCCGGGAGAGCAGCGGCCCCGCTGCGGCGGCCAGCAGCCCCATGGCTGTGGTGGGCACACTGCCACCTTCACGGACGCCCCGCAGAGCCCCCGCCACGCTGGCTGACATCCAAGCTGCCGGAGAAGAGGAGGTTTCCTTCCCAGAAAGCCAAGGGGCCAGCCCAGGAACGCCCCAATTGGGTACTTCTCGTGCCTCCGCTAAAGGCCCGACAAAGTGGGGGTGCCCAGGGACCCCAGGCCGGGGAAGCTCTGCACCACACTCCAGTGCAAGCTGCACCCCTGGGGCGCCCCCACCCTCCGCCCGTGTGCACACCGTGTGGAGAGCGAGCAGCGGCGGCCACACCGTTTGTGTGCCGGGCTCCTGCAGGCACCGTGCCCTCATTGGAGGTGGCGGCTGACAGCAGCCTCCCTGCTCCCTGGTCCTGACCAAGGCGCCGGCCATTCATCAGGCTGCGGTCCACTAAGTGGGTGTCACATCCCGTCCGCTGGGAGCCCTGCGGCCTGCTAATCCCACGGTTTCCTGCCCAGAGCGCGGCAGTGAGCAGGAGAGGACAAGCAGGGGGAAGGATGGGACTGAAAAGGCACGTCAGCACTGCGTTAACGAGGCTAAGCTAAATAATTTAAACAAAACTAAATTCCCTCGAGGATGTTGCTGACAGTCACATCCATCTGATGGGTGAGCACAGCAGCCAGGACATACGTTTAAAGCCGCAGCTCCGTCTCAGAAACGCTGCTCTGCCTGCCCGGGTCTGCGTTTGGTGAAGGAGCGGGCGGCGGGGTGGCCGGAAGGAAGGAGAGGCGGCGGTGACTGGCGCCTGCACAGACGTCAGCCCTTCGCCAGCCCCCCGCCTGCAGCTGTTCAGCGGGCCCTCTGTGGTTCGGGACCCTGGGCCTTTCCAGGGACAGGAACCCGTCCGGCCGACCTCAACGCCCGCAAGAGCACAGCGTTCCTGTCACCTCTGGTCGTCCTCACACACCCTGTTCCAGGGCGTAAGCTGTGGCGAGCCGGGGGCCCGGGGCAGGGCGGGGAGGGTGACGAGAGCCAGGACCGGGCCTCTGGCTGCTGTCACGCTTCCCGACCCGGCCAGACGCGCTTCGGAAGCGCCGTCAGACTGCATGCCTGCACGCCTGCACGCCTGCACGCCTGGGTCGGCGCGCCGCCCTCCGCCACAGGCGGAAAGCGAGGGAAGCTCGCCGCTCAGGGCGGCCTCGGTGTGGCAGCCCCCACACGCGTGTTTGCTAATTGAGTTACTAACGGAGCTGCCGACTGGACCGGGAGCGAATTTCTCCGTGCGGCTTTGAAGGACTCTGCCACTAATTAGTCGTGTGACCTTGAGCAAGGAATTTTAAATTGAGAAAATACATAATGGCAAAGGGCCACTTTGAAATAAAAATGGCTTTTAATGGCTCTTCACCATATTATGATAATACTGCCTGCGCATATTTTGTAATTCGTGGCCCCTACAGCGAGAGGCATTCCACCTTCCTGAGCACCAGGGCCGAGCCAGGAGCCCCGGCGACGCCGCCTGGGCCAGATGCGCAGCTAAGAGCGCCTGTCCCCGTGCAGCCCGCGGCAGCGGGCCGCTCCCGGGTCCCCGTGGCAGTGTCGGATGCTGGGCCACACGGCGCAGCCTCTGAGCCCGCCTTGGGGCAGCTCCCAGTGTCGCCTCCGCAGAAAGGCCACCTCGTTCTCTGGAGCGAGGGCCCCAGCAGTGCCCAGGGGCCCTGACAGCCACCCCCAGCGCGGCCCCAGCAGCTGCTAAGGGCCTGTGGCCGGCACCACAGTCCGCGCCCCCTGCTCCAGAGGCCGGGGCTCACCGGGAGGGGTTGGCGCGCTGTCTGCTTGTCCACCCTGCCGACGCAGGTCCGGTCGCCGCAGGAGCCTCAAGAGCCACTTCACAGACACTGTGCTCCAAGCCTCCGGACCCAGCCTCTGCCACGTGCGGGGAACACAGGCACGGTCCGCAAACGCACAGCAGAGGGAAGACTCCGTCCCTTTTGGCGACCAGTTCTTGTCCTCGAGGCCAGAGCGGCGCCGACGTCTGAAGGTGTGAGACGTGTCCGCAGCAGGAAGTCCCCGCACAACCCCCATCCCGGCCCACACAGACCCCACGCCCCCAGGCCTCGGGAGGGAACGAGACGTGCGGCTGCTGCCCGGTGTGGCTCCTGGCTCCTGTCTCCTGGGTGTGGCGTGCACCGCCCCCCCACAACCTGTTGAGGCCTCCAGGCGGCGCAGCCGCGGGCCCCCTCCTCTGGACGAGCTCACAGGCCGGGGCAGAGGCAGGGGCCGGGGCTGGGGCCAGCATGCAGGCGTCTCCGCACTGAGCTGTGTGCCGGCTCCTCGTTGAGTCCCGCTGGGCTGAGAGGCAGGTGCTGCCCTTGGCTCCATGTCAGAGGACGAAGTGAAGTCCCCGACGGCGAGTGCCACCAAAGGGCGCGGCCCCTGGAGAAACGGCTGGTCACAGCAGCACGGCAGGGGGAGGGCGAGCTGGGCCCATGGGTGGGGGACTCGGCCAGCGTGGGGGACAGACGGAGGCCACGTCAGCGCGTGCGGATGATAAAGGAGGGCAAACCGGGTTCTCACCCACGGAGTTGGGAAGGACACAGGAGTCCCCTCCAGCAAGCTGAGAAAGGACGCGCGAGCAGTGCTCACAGACTCAAAGCACCACCCCCAAAACCGCGTGCTCGCAGCAAGGGCGGCGGAGGCGAGTGTAGGCACCGCACTCTGCGGCATCGGTCAGCCCCGCGCCGCCCGACAGGATGCGGGGGGAGCCCAAGGCCCCGTTCCGCTCCAGCCAAAGAGGCAGGACCGACAGTCACGTGAGGCCTTGCCAGCAGCCGCCGCTCACCGGACAGCCGGGGGCCTCCTGGGTGGCACGGTCGCGGAGGCCAAGGAGAGGCCGAGGACCTGCTCCAGGATGACCGAGGCTGAGTTAAGGGCGGCATCCGGCGATGTGCATCCAGGCCCTTGTGCCCTGAAGGGCACCCTGGGACCAGCGGATGACCCACGCTGTGCCTGAGGCTCAGGCGGCAGCACAGCCCGAGCTGGGAGCTGGGTGAGGAGCCCCCGCCGGCAGGATGTCGGGCACGAAAGGGTGCGCGGGGCTGTGGCGCCGTTGGGGCAGCTTGCCCTCTGACGGCCCGGGGAAAATGCCGCTTTGGGCTGCACTTGCAGCTTTTAATTTTTTTTCAAAATTAAAATTAAAATACAGGCTGCTTGATGCCACTGAAATGTGCTGAATCAAACCTAGGCTTGTCCTCTTACGCCATTACTGGTGAAGTTACCAGGGCAAGGAGCAGCCCCACCCTTGCTCAAGGCCAAAAGGAAAATGTTCACTTCTGAAGGCCATGTGCCCTTCTGAACTCAAAATCCATCGAAATTATTGCAAAGTAGATGACAGTCCTAAACTGCAAAAATTTTTTACAAACACAGTATTTAAAAATATATCCATTTGCCGGATCTTTCACACAAGCAGGAAGTGTAGAATTCTTTTCACGTTCACTGACGCTGCCCTGTAAATTCTGACCAGCCAGGCTGACAGGGAGAGTTCTTTAGTTTCCACTTTCTTCCTTCTTCTTCTTTTCTTTTTTTTGTGGGGCCCAGGGGCAGGGGAAGGAGGCCTCCTCAGTGTGGCAGGTGCTGTCAGCAGCAGACACGGCCCCCACCAGCAGGGCTCCCGCACCGCCAGGAGCACACCCGGGACCCAGGGCCTGGCTGTAAAAACCCAGCCTCGGAGTTACAGAGGGAGACAGCAGAAAGCAATTGATTCAATTCAGCTGTGACAAGGCGTAAATGAAGTGGGGACAGTCAGTGCTGGCTAACAAGAAGTCCATTTCCATCCTGGCTGGCGTGGCTCAACGGATTGAGTGCCGGCCTGTGAACCAAAGGGTCGCCAGTTCGATTCCCATTCGGGGCACGTGCCTGGGTTGCAGGCCAGGTCCTCAGTGTGGGGTGCATGAGAGGCAACCACACGTGGATGTTTCTCTCCCTCCCTTCCCCTCTCTAAAAAATAAATAAAATATTTAACAAGGGGGGAAAAAAAGAAGTCGATTCCCACCAGCCTGGTCACCAGGAGCTGGCAGAGAGCCAGGCAGCGGCCACAGGCCTCGGCTGCCGTCACCGGGTGTGGGGCTGCCGGCAGGGAGCCTGCACGGGAGGGGCTGTCACCCTGGGACACCCCAAAGAGCAAGGCTGGCGAGTAAAGTGGGGGAGCAGCACTGTTTGCTCGATTCTGACTGCAGTGGTTTGCATTTTTTCTTAAAGTCAATAAAGGGAACCTCTGCTTTCGTTTAGGGCGGAACGAGCTGAGGAGCCCCCGCTCCTGCCAACGAGAGAACGCTGAGGAGCCTGCAGCGGATGCAAAGGAAGGTCCACCCACCGCGGCGGCTTCCCCAACAGATGACCCCGAAACTTAGAGAAAAAAATAATACCCAATTCAAAACACACTCCTCCACAAAACAGAAAAGATGGGAATATTTCTCAACTCTTTTATAAGGCCATTATTATCTTGGTATCAAAATCAAACAAATATGTAGTAATAAAAGAAAACTATCGACCGACGTCCCTCATAAACAGAGATGCAAGCTCCTTAACAAAATACCAGCCACCAAACCCAGTGATGCAGAGGGGACAACACAGTGAGGTTTGTTCCAGGAATTCAAGGTTGGCTCAGCAACCAAAACGGAATCAATATAATCCACCACATCAACAGAATGGAAAGAAGCCAGGTGATTATCGCAGCAGATGCTGAGAAAGTGTTTTGTAAGAGTCTAGACTCATTCTTGACAAAAACTCTCAGCGTCTGAGAACAGAAGTGAGCTCTTGCCTTACAAAAGGCATCCAAGAAAGCCCGGCTACTATCATCCTTAACGGGTGTTCTGACGCTTCCTCCCCAGGGGCGGAGGCTCGGGAGGCGTGTGCCCATGCCCCGCTCAGCACCTGCCGGGGTCTCTGGGGCGATGACGGAGACCCGGGCGCTGTCTGGCTGTGGGAGCGAGGCGCCTGCACGGAGGTGTCCGCCGCTGGAGTTTGCGAGTGTAGAGAGCTATTCCAGGTGCGGGGCAAACCGACGGGGAAGTTACAGAACCCAACCCTCACGACGGTATTAGTTTTCCTTGAAACACCTTCTCCACCACACATCGCAGGTGATGGCATCCAAGTACCTTCAAGGTCAGAGAACTCCTCAAAGGCAGGAAGGCCACAGGGTCCCCCACACCAGTGATGGGCCCCGCTGGGCCAGGCCCAGCGCCCCGTGCGGTGACGCTCAGGACTTACCGATCCAGCACTCTAATCGTGCACAAGGGGTGGTCTTCACCACATCTGGGGGGTCCACGCCGACATTCAGGCACAAAACCAGGGCCACACTGACTGTCTTCATCTGCAAACACAACAGAAGAAGCAAACCTTTCAGTAGGAAAGTCACGGGCACGGTTTCCGGTTTCTACTAGTTCCCCTGAGATGCACCAATGGGAGCCCCGCCCCACCCCACCTCTCCAGCCCCGCCTTCATCGCGGCCACCTGCGCGGCCAGGTGTTCTCTCCGGCAACTTCCTCTTTCAGAGTACGGCAGGCAGATGGCAAGAGAGGCCTTTCCCAGCTTCCTTATGATCCATATCGAGAAAGAATAAGTTGATCAAAAGCATAAACATTGTAAGGCACTTGTAACATTCTGCCAAATTCCTCTGCAAAGCTTTTGCACACATTTACACTCATTACATAAAATCGTTATTTATTGAATGAGAGAAAAAATATCATATTGATTTGGTTGACATTTAGTATTATTTGTATCTTTTATCTTTTGTGGGTTTTCTACTCTTGTTAACACTGTCACTGTTTACTGATATCCGTGGTTTCTCCTGATTAATTTCCACATGTGCTTTACATGTTAAAGGCTGCTCCCCGTTGTTGGTGACCGAGAACCTCCCTAGCCTGCTGTTTACATCTGACATGTGGGACACACCACAGCCTCGGGGCGGTCACCTGAGGCGCTGCCCTGCACACCTGTCCCCCTTCCGTGGGATAGGGTCAGCCCACGACCCAGACGGCACCAGCCAGAATCCTGGGCCACCTCCTTCGCTCATTCACGGGCCAGCAACCGTTTCCTGGCCACATGCCAGGCGCCGACCCCTGCTTTCTGGTGCCACCTTCAGGTGCGTCGGTAAATGAAGGAAATAAAAGTCCAGTACAGCACCCCAGCCAGAGTGGCCCCCCTCCTCCCGCCCTGCTCCTGCACCCACACCGCGGCACCCGCCTTGGGCCCCTCGCCCCACCTTTTCTATCCTTCCTCCTCCACGCCTCCCGCTTCTGTCCTCGCCACCGTCCCCAGCCCCAAACCTGCACCATGTCTCACTTGCGCCGCCGGGGCTTCCCGGGCCCCCGACAGCCTCGCGGCTGCGGCCCACGCCCGGTAGTGTGGCACAAGGGGCTCTTAAACGCAGATCTGCCGGGGCTTTAAAGGGGAGCATGGGGCGCACGGCCCTCGGTTGGCAGATATGACATGAACAACACGCCATGCGCCAGGACAGAGGGACTCCGGGGACCCACCGTGGCTTAAAGAGACATATCTTGCCCAACACCCTGCACCACGCCTTTTAAGAAAACAAGAAACAAATGTCAAGAGCGAATGGACACACGATCTACAAAGACGTTTTCGTCCTCTGCCGAGCCACCACAGAAATGCCGCAACCGGCAAAAGCCATCGCCAGTAAATGGCCTGAAGCCACCCAAGCGCGGCTTGTGTGCATTGCCCTGCAAACTTTACCAGTGTCGGCCTGATTTCAGACGTGGTGAGTTTTAAATTCTTAGCTATACCCCGAAGGATCTTCTCGGTATTTTATTCTTATTTCTATGGTAATCTCATTCCAAAAATTCTAGATTAATGTTTTTTAATAATACAGTTACAGCATTAAGAAAATGTAAGGGCTATCAATTCAATGTGCCAAAAATTGCATAATAATACATAAAATAACCATTTTAGACGGAACACATTTTTCTCTCCAATGCAATATAATTAAAGAGGACAGAGTTAATCCCCAGAGGTTAATTTTGAATTTGCAAAGAGTATCATTTTGAGAAACTATAAAACCCTAAGTGATCACTGAAAATGTGTAACCTCAGACATGTCGGTTCATCGCCGTCTCTTCTGAACCCGGGCCTCGCCTGTCCAGGGAGGCGGGCACAGGGGAGGGCCTGGGGGCCGCCGGGCGGTGGGGTGCTGCCGCCACAGCTCGGGGGCAGCCCGCACAACCCTTGGGGGCCAGGTGTGCTTGGAAACGCAGCATGTTTCCAGTTTCTGAAACGATGACGTGACACACACCCCGCACCTCACGTGACACCCTGGGAGCCCAGAGCAGCACCCAGGGCTGGGAGCACGGCAGCGTCCACAGGGATAGGGAGGCGCAGTCCCCCAGTCCCGGACAAGCAGCGCCTCAGCAGCTTCCCCGCGGCCCCGCCCGGCTTTCCCATGACGAATGCCCGGTTTGCAGCGCCTGTGGGGACCCAGCGGCAGGCGAGGCCGGTGGGCCTGGATGTCCCCAACGTGCACACCCCGTATACTCAAGTGTACGTCGCTGCCTCGCCAACTACAATGGCGTCTGTGCCTGTCGCCAAAGAACTCAAAACAGAGTCACACGGGTCCCTTTGCTGGTTTCTTCCCACTGAGCTGCTCTGATAAACCATGTATTTTTCAAAAGACAGCAGACCAAGTGCCACAGCCACACCAGACGTGGGCCCCCAGGTGGACGGGCGCTGCCAGCCGGCGTGAGGCAGGGTGGAGAAGCCACCTGCGTGCAGCTGGGCCCGTGTCCTGCCCCCCGCAACCCGACCCTGGAAGCAGAACTCCTGCCCGACCGCCCAGCACCCACAGCCGTGTGGAAGGGAAACAGGACGCAGGTGGACTTGCCATATATGCCACAACAGCCACCGTCCCCGCTTTTCAGAGGCACAGCCACCCAATTCCCAGCCGCGCTCATTAAGAGTCGGAGCATCCAGGAAAACCTGGAGCTCAGCCGAAGTCGCACAAATGCATGATTCATAGTGAATGTCAGAAACTGGAACCACAGCAAACAGAGGAGACGTACGGGGCGGGGAGGGGGCAGTTGTTGAATAAGGATACGCCGGCAAACCTCCGGCTCCTGTCCCAAACAAAGACCGCGAGGAACACTGGGCAAGAAACTAGCAAGGGACACAGCGAACGGAGTTTTTCCACCGAACCCTGACACAAAATCAGAGCCCCTCCCCGCAGCAACTGAGGGCGCTCGCGCGGCCTTCACTTGGCCATCCCTTTGCTCTTGTCGCTGGGGCTAGGGCTGGGGCTGGCGGGGCGCAGACCCGGAGGCTGGGAGCGCAGCTGGGCGCCCTGAGCCAGGAACCTCACTTGGGTTTAAGCGCTCTCTTCAGAGGCCAAATTCTCCCTGTACGTCACTGCTTTCTAAACCCGCCAGGTCCTGTCAAACAGCCCGACAGACAGGAAGAGAGGAAGCCCGGCAGCCTCTCCAAGGGCGCGCGGCCCGCCCCCTGCTCCGCAGGCCCAGAGGGAGCCCGGTTTCTGAGAAGCAAGTTAAAGCGCTGCATACAAAGTAGGTTTACTATTGACATCAGAACAGCTTCTGGCTTTTCCCAAAACAAAAATCGCCTTTGAAAGGGAAGAGATTTCAGATCATCGATGAGATTCAGGAAAACACAGACCGGGCGGCTGAGGCACCAGTGTCCTGTGCGCAATGTTGTTTGTATCTTGTATCTTCAATAAAAATGTCTCTACTTTTCACATTACGCGGCTGAATACTTTCTGGACAGACCGTGCGCGCACATGTATACAATTAACTATTCAAGCTCTTTATCTAAAAAGTCGGGGGGGAAATACTCATTTGTCTCGGAGGAACATAGTAAAATACAAAAACACTTATTTGTCTCAGACACATATACATGTATGAATTCATCGTAAGTAATTCGGCAAGAAGTCTCAACGCAGCAAACCCTTCCGCTGAAGCCTGAGGCTGGACAGGGCGGGACAGGCACGTGGAGTGGCAAGTGCTCACGGCTGGAGCATCGCGGGCTCCAAAACCCATTTCCCGGCTGCACAGCGCCCCCCAGAGAGCCCCGTGGGCCCACGGGCGGGCCGTGCAGGGTGAGCTGCGCCTGTGAAGCTGTAGAGGGGGGCACACCCAGAGGCGCAGCGCACAGGTCCCAGGTGCAAGGAGGAGGGTGTGGCTCCGTAGCCATAGCTATTATCCCAAACACGGAGGCCAGCACGAAGGACACGGGACGGCAGCACGCGGTGCCTCAGGCACCACGGGCCACTGAGGAACAGAAATGTGGTGCTTTCTCCTCTTCTCCGCTTTGCACCTGGCCCTTCTGTGTCTGTATTTTCAAGTTTTCTACCATCAACACATATGATTCCTATAAGCACAGGGAAAGTAATAAAAATGTTATCACAACTGTCAAGGATTTTTTATGCGTGTGCGTGCGTGTATATATAATTTTTATTACACTCTGGAGAGAGAGAAGAACTCGTCTGGTTAGCTGAAGCTCCAACCAGTATCCAAGGCAACGAGCGAGCAGGTGGGTGAGGAGAGGAACGCAGGAGACGTCCCGCGGGCGGCCCATGGCAGGACGGGTCCTCTGAGCAGCGCTGCCGCCCAACCCGAAGGGGGCCTGTCACCCCCGAGGACTTGTCCCGGCAACGCAAGCGCAGCTGAGGGCTCTGTCTGGGTCTCCCGCCCCTCCTAGGAGGACCCAGAGCAAGCCCACCAGCAAGACGCCTTCCACGGACAGCGAGACTTCCGAGCCACCCGTGGATTGACTTCAAGGCTGTTCAGGGGCCGCGTCACGGACGGAGGGCTGGGTGGCTGCCTCGCGACCCCCAGAGGAAAGCAGAGCGAGTGCTGCCACCCCGTGACGGAGCCGCCCGTCAGGGCCGGCTTCTCCTCCGCTCTGCGTGGCGCCGCAGCGCATCACGGGTGCAGATGCCGCGGGACAGGCCCCGGGCACACCAGCCACACAGAGACCCTGGGCCCTGCCGGCCGAGACGCCCTGGCAACAGGCACCACACACGGGAGCCCCAGGACGCTAAGGGGGGCTGTCTTCCTCCTCCTCCCTCCAGCCTCTGGGTTGGGCCCAGGTCCCACAGCGCCAGGTGGAGGGTAAGGTGGATCTGATAGCAGATTGTCATGGCGCAAGCATGGCTAAGCAGCTGTCTTCGGGGGGATGAACCCGTGACAATGGCTAACACCCACCAGGGATGGAAGAGAATGGAGGGAGGGAAATAGGCCAGGAAGCTGGGAGGGAAATAACAAGCCTGCATGAAGCCTGGCAGGAGGGGGAGGGACCGGAGCAGCAGAGACAGGAGGATCGCTCTCCTTCAGAGCGAATGGGTGGTAGC